GCGTACTGGGAAAAACAAACATATGTGGTGAAAGGAAGGAGAGGAGAGGATGGGACTGGAAAGGAAAGAGTGCTACACCGAAACCTTCTATTACCTTGTCCTTACCTGGTTGATGAGCGGAGGTCAGCCGATGTTCCTCTGGAAAAAAAGGAGGTCAGAGGAACAGGTCAAAACACAAAGCACAACCACAATGGAATACTCACCATGACAGCACCGACAGTTCCAGTGATGAGGAGTTTGACTTGTGGGTTCCAACGCAGAGAACAGGAACAGATCTGGATCCGCGTGCAGCAGAATTACAACCTAGAAGATGGGAGAGAAACAGAAAACCTGAGAAGGAACCTGACATCGAAGAAATCGCTGACAAATCTGTAAACCTACCTGACCTGGAGGGGGACCCAGAGGAGTCTGATGAACAGGTACTGGGAGATTTTCAAGGGGATCAGGAACTGGAGGAAGGATCCATAGGAGAAGCAGAACATGAAGAGGGTGACTTTGCATCAGAACCTATGAGGAGAACTTCTGCCAGAAACAGGCGACCTAGGAATCTCTACACGTATGACACCCTGGGTGAGCCCACACTTCGACCAGTGAACTGGAGTGTTTTTGGTGGAAACACTGATGTTGTAACCTGCTGTGTTCGACCTCAGCTGAGCATCGATCACCTGAATCTGTATCCTTTATACTAAGTAAGAGTTGAAATAGTTAAGTTCAAAGTTATATTTTTGTTAAGTGGGTTATAAACAGTTAAGGGTATTGTAAGTCTACAGTCATAATAATGCTATACAGCAGAATTATAGTTTTTGCCAGCTTGAGAGATATTTGAAAGGCTGGATGAAATGCTCAGAGATTAATGCAGTGCTAAAGTGACATTGAAAATGTGTCAATACATTGTGGATGTGTATGTGGTTGTCTCCACTTGTCATTACAGGATATTTTGGGGGGCCCACCAGCGAGCCTAAAGACAAGACACCTCTCAACACACATCAAGTCTAAACGTTTAGATGATTGTAGTAATGTCACAATTGTATGGAAGTATAAGATGTTGATTGTATTGTTAAGCTGTGAGAAAGCATGTACATTACACTGCCAATGGAACTTACATTTTAAATATTTACCAAGAAATAGTAAAAAATGTTTGGTAACATTTTATTTTTTTAGTGGGGGAGGGTGTAATGACCTCAAAGAATTATTTAATAGGTTTCCTTTCTTTGTTTATTGTAGATAATTTGTTCTAATAATATGCAAGAAAAAAATGTGTATACTGTTGGGGGTGCTGTGTGAAGAAAGACATGTGAGTAAAAAGGAGAGAGAATAAGGACAGTTAACGCATGTTGTGTCGTGTTAAAGCTTGCAGCCCAAATCTGTTGCAGAAAACAAAAAGAAAAAACAACCGGGCGAATAAATCTACAGAAAAGCAAAGGTTGTCGTCGTTATTGTCCAAGGGGGCAACATTTCTATGCTTGACTCTTTTCATCGACATGCCACCGTTGAACCATGCAACCTCTATACATATTTTGTAATCTTTATATATATTATGGGATCAATAATCAAAATATTCAATAGTTTCTCCATGAGTATGAGTGTGTACGTGACTATATGCATGTAATGACTTTTGTACAGCATATATGTGGCAAAGAACATGCAAAACCCCTCAGTCAGCAGAACATGTTCTTTCTTATTAGTGGTATGACCAATGGGTAGAAACAGGATTAGTTAAAGACTAATCCCAAGGGATACTGTTTATCTTCAAAAAGGTACATTTGTTAGAATGAAATCTCTTTGCACGTAAAGTCTCACTGTATGTAAACCTTTCTGCAGAAATTCAAGCAAAGACAAAGACAAGCTCTTGGTTGAGTTTTTCATTCTAAGTTTCACATTTATTGATTGACTTAGAATTTCCACGACATCTGATACTGGTCTACAATGTTTCTTTCTATGCTTGACTCTCTTCATCTACATGCCACTGTTTGAGCCCTTACCATGGTAAATGTGTGCCAGGTGACAAGATTAAATGAACAGTATGGAAGGTATATTCAATAAACCAAATGTTTATTACAATATAAAATCAGAATGTTTTTTTTTTATTTGTGTGTATATATATATATATATATATATGTGTATGAAGAGTTCATTTGCAAAAACCGATAACTCCATTTGTTTTTTGTTTTTTATCAGAAATCATGTTTTTTATCAAACTGCAGTTGGGTTGTTTTGATTAAGTAATAATAACTTAAATACAGGTAATTTACAAAATTAAAGTTCATTGAAAGTATGTTTTTTTTTAACATATTAAAAGTTTATTTTATAGCAAAAGCAGATAACTCCATGTAACAATTAATCCACTAAAGGCGAGTTGAAGTGAGAACCCAAGTACATTTTATTTAACATAAAGACAAAACATAATCCAAAAAGACTTGATTTGACTTGATCAGGCTTGACTTGGCATGAACAGACTTGACAAAAACAGACTAGACTCACCGACAGCGGGTTACAACATTAAAGCTAGACAAAGAACAAATGCAACATGAGGGCTATTTATATCAAACAATGACGGTCACATGACAAGAACCAACCAATCAGAAAAAAGACACATGACTAAGACAACCAAAGAGAACATGACACATGAACCAAGGACCCAATCAGAACATAACACACAGACAAGGGAATTCAAGTTTATTCAATTCAAGTTTATTTGTACAGCAAAAACCCAAACCCCACCAAGTCCAGGAGGGTGGTAGAGCAGAGGCGGAGCAGGGGGTGAGATGGTGGGTCAGGCCCATGAAGGGGAACGGGACCTGAATCATGACATGGACCGTGGAACGATGGCAGACAGTGAAGCACTGGAGTACCTGGGCTGTGGAGCAGTGGCAGAGAGTGAAGTACTGGAGGACCTGGGCCGTGAAGCAGTGACAGACAATGGAGCAGAGGTGGGCCTGGACCGTGAAGCCCTGGACCTCTGCGTACTTTGCCGTGCTATGTATGCTATGTGTCACTTCAGTCGAAGTAACCTGAGGATCCTATAGCCAGAGGACCCTGCCCATTCTGGCGGGCTTTACCACCATAGGCTCATGCAGCTCCGCTGCCGAGCCATTGGTTCATTTTTTATTCACTGCACGAACCAATGGCCGTGCAGTTACACTGCGTTATTGAAAGGCTTCAGTCATCGGAGAAAAAGGAGTTGTCCCCAAGCGTCTTAAACAGACGCAGTACTTGTTTTTCCATATCTCAGGGAACCGAGGTTACATCAGTAACTGACTACGTTATGATCTGTGATCATATCATTTACAAAAAGTGCTTTTGTATAAAGGGATCTAATATTCATTAAGCCAAGCTTTATCATTTGTTTATCTGTATTATGTCTGTTTTTTATTTGTTTAACATCAATTAAATTGTTACCCTTAAATTGTTTTGGATGTTTTGTTTTTTTTTGCATTTGCATTTGCATTTGCTAGTTCGGGGAACAGACACAGTATATATAGTATGATATCTAGGTAAAAGAGTATCTATGTGATGAGAATTAACTGACCGCTGTGAGGCGGCTAGCACGGTCGGTTTAGCAAGCCTGTCTGCCTGGGCCCCAGTTAGTCAAGTACAAACTCTAAGACTATGTGCTATATTTCTAGAGAGAAGAGCGGCACCAGCCCTGGAGGGATGAAGACCATCTCTTTTCAACAGGTCTGGTCCATCCAATTCAATTGAAAAGAAGCCATGACTCACCGTGATTTTTTAATGATTTCCGACTTACCACAGTTGTTTGATGAACGGAGCGAGAGATTAAAGAAATGGAACGAGTCAGAGAGAAAAATAGATGGTAGGAAACGCGGTAATGCTTTCATTAATAAATCATTAACAAACATTATATAATGCTTAATGGATCATTAGTTAATATACAGTATATTCAAAGAGTTAGAAATGTGAGATAATGTGCTTGTTAATGTTTGCTTATTAAACATTAGATAATGTTCAAACAAATCATTATTTCATGTGATTTTAACAGATGTTATAAAATGATTTAAAGCTTTTGTTAATGCACAACACAGGTTTGGTGGTATTTTTAACACATTTGAACACTGTATTATCAGAAAAAAATAGTGTTTTGTTATACAGTTAAATTGATTTGTTCAGCAAATAACTGTTATCTGCAGTGAGATCAGATTATTTATTTGTTTTGTACATGCAAAATAAAACAAAATAAAAGGGTTGCAAAACTACTATTGCTACTTTAATCTTTCTTTGCAATATTTGTGATATTCACTATGTATAAAAGGTCAAATTTTCTTGGGCCATTAAAGCAAAAGGGAGACGTACCATTTCATTTTTGCACATTTTCAAAAATGTAGTGCTTATAATATGTTGTAATGAAAAAGTATATATTATATAATGCTACAAATGTGGGTTTGGATAGACAATCAGCATGACATCAAACATACAAGAGTGACAATCCAAACCTCACAAATATATCCTATCCATTGATTACTTGGTTACGTTATGAAAGTTTTGAAAATGTTCTTTATTACATGTTAAAAGGAAGCATACTTAGGTATAAATGCTTGCATGTAAACAACAACTGTATAAATGTTCAAATTAATCTTTTTATTGTCATAAATCACAGTAGTGTTATGGTGTGAAATGAACCCCAGAATGTATCTTCTTTCTCTATATGTTTCTTTAAGACTTTGGTAACAACAGTGAAGAATCAAAGCCAACAGTTTAAGAGTTCACTTCCAGGCTGACGGTTTTTGTAGATTACTGCCTCAACATTTTGACCATGAGCAACAAATTTAACCACATACGTACATGGAAGTTCCTATATAAACTAGTTTACAAGGTAAGTAGATAGGGAATGCTTGCTAAAATGTCCAGAAAACATTTAGATATTTGACAGATAAATACAAGTGTGTTTTAAAAACACAAGCATCCTCCGACTAAAGTGAACTGCAATTCCCTTCGATGGATTGACTTTAAATGCAAAACGTTAAATGCATCTTTGTTTTGGTCTAAGTCCTACTAATGGTCTGGGTGTAATTCTGAATAGATGTTTGAAAGTATGCAGCAGTGTTCTTTTGCGGCTGGAATATTATGATGTAAGATTTTGTTATGAAATAACTGAAGAGAATTCCATTTATACTAGATATCTGGGCCATTGCATTTAGAAGCATGATGTACTTGCTTTTGACAGAGAGGTATGCTGTGAAATATACAATCCAGCTCAGATAGTACAAAATTAGACTGAAGGTTATTGATTTGGCCTCGTTGTAATTTTTCGGCAGATCTCTTCCCATGTAAGAAAATATAAGACACAGGAGACCAAGAAACCAACTTATAAACACAACTATGGTAAAGGTTATAGCGTTCCCCATTTCACACATGAGCATAATTTGGTCTTTAAAAGTCCATGAGTCAGCAATGGGTTTGTCAGGAGAGACAGTCATCCATATCACACAAGAAATTAAATGAATGAAAGAAGAAAATGCAATGAAGAGCCACTGTCCGTTGTGCTTTACCCAAAGGCTGTGCAGCTTAGGGAACTGAGCAGCCATTTTAAAAACACAAATAATTTGAAAGGAACGGACAGTCAAACAGGAAATACAGATTGTGAAGAAAAATGCAAATATGGCATTTCTCAGGAGGCAAAATACAAATGTGGGTTTTCCAAAGAAAAAGAACACACTTATACTAGACATAATCAAACACATTAACATAAGGAGACACATGCTGCCACCAGCAGACTTTACCACTGGTGTGTTGAAGTTGTAGGCAAAAAGGCAAAGTATAGCAATAAGGAGAATAATTAGGCATGTGGCAGAAAGCATGACAATGATGGAGGAAATTTCTGCAAACTCAAGATAGACAACAATACGTGTCTTACATGCTGTGCTGCCCTCATCAGACCATTCGCTCTCTAAACATGGAAAACAGGTATAGGGGTCCCCTGAAAAAAAAAATAATAATATGGATGTTAAGTAATGCCTTTTTACCAAAAGCCATAATAATAGTAAATAAATGTGGGAAAATATTTTGTTTTCACATTTCAAAAAGTACCCTAATTCCAGTAAAGTATTGGTGATAGAGTGGACTGAAGATGCTTAAAGGGGTGGTTGATTGCGATTTCACTTTTGTTGTTTCAGGGTTGGCATCATCTGAGGTCCTCTGAGGGGTTGGCATCATCTCTTCTCAGGTGTTCTGGATCCAGACTGAAGCTTGTGTAAATCCTAGTTTACCACGGGATGTCAATCCCGTGGCAAAAACAGAGAAACAAATAGGGACATAATTAGCGTAGCTGCTGTTCCAACCAAGCAAAATTGATTTGTTTAGCCCAAACTAAAGAATAATAATGTGCATTTGATCAGATATAACTGCAGTACAAGATTATGATATGCATTATTTGAATGCTTGGCCAAAGAGATGTGTCTTTAATCTAGATTTAAACAGAGAGAGTGTGTCTGAACCCCGAACATTATCAGGAAGGCTATTCCAGAGTTTGGGAGCCAAATGCGGAAAAAGCTCTACCTCGTTTAGTGGACTTTGCTATCCTAGGTACTACCAAAAGTCCAGAGTTTTGCGACCTTAGGGAGCGTGATGGATTGTAGCGTGGTAGAAGACTAGTTAGGTACGCAGGAGCTAACCCATTAAGGGCCTTATAGGCAAGTAATAATATTTTGTAACTGATACGGAACTTAATAGGTAGCCAGTGCAGAGACTGTAAAATTGGGGTAATATGATCATATTTTCTTGACCTGGTAAGGACTCTGGCTGCTGCATTTTGGACTACCTGTAGCTTGTTTATTGAGGATGCAGGACAACCACCTGTGCATTACAATAGTCCAGTCTAGAGGTCATGAATGCATTAACTAGCTTTTCTGCATCAGAAACAGGTAACATATTTCGTAGTTTGGCAATGTTTCTAAGATGGAAGAATGCTGTTTTTGTAACATGGGAAATATGTTTTTCAAAAGACAAGTTGCTATCTAATATAACACCCAGATTTTTGACTGTAGAGGAAGTAACAGTACATCCGTCTAGTTGCTAATTGTAATCCAAGAGATTCTGTGTACTGTCTTTTGGTCCAATAAGTAATATCTCTGTCTTATCCGAATTTAATAGGAGAAAATTATTGGTCATCCAAACATTTTTAACACACTCTGATAATTTAGAAGTTTCATCTGGTCTTGTTGAGATATCATCAGCATAACAGTGGAAACTAATCCCATATTTTCTAATAATATTACCAAGGGGCAACATGTATATCGAAAATAGCAGAGGACCTAGGACAGATCCTTGTGGCACTCCATATTTTACTGGTGATAATCGAGATGACTCCCCATTTAAATGAACAAAATGGTAGCGATCGGACAGGTAGGATCTAAACCATCTTAAAGCCTGCCCTTGAATACCTGTATAGTTTTGTAATCGATCTATGAGTGATTTCACTTTTTTAACGTTAGTGTGTAATGTTGCTGTTTGATCATAAACAATATATGCAAAGTTACAAAGCTGAAAGTTCAATGCAAACAGAGAAATCGTCTTTCAAAATTCTGGCAGTTTAATGCCTACAAAAAAGGCTGGTAGGGACTACAACAAGTTACTTCCTGGGTTCGTGATGTAACAAACCCAGATAAACCTCAGAAAAGGCGGGCATTATGAGAAGCGTTAAACATGGACGTGCGTGCAGTTGCCGTACTACCCATAAACACAATCAAGCCTAGAAAAAAAACAGTGAACCACCCTTTTAAATACCAAGGTGCCACTGAACGCCGTACTTACGAGAATAGTCCACATAGCTGTTACGTGGGCATTTTGTACAGGTAAAGCAGCAGCTATGAAAACCTTCAGGTTTCCTTGAATATCCCGGCTTACACTCAACAGAGCAGTTTGAGAAAGGAACCTTTAAGGAATGTAAAATATGTTATTAAAGTTTTTGTAACTAAAATCAGTGTTCTCAAACAATTAACACAGCCTGAACACTACGTAATTTCCATAAATGGACTGAAAATTACAAAATACAAATTACATAATTCCCTTAAACACTACACACAAATTTTTCAGATCTGCTATAAAATCAGTTGTTATCAGACAACTAAACTAACGCCATCTTCATTATTCCACTGGCATCAAATTGATATCCTATGCATTAGTAAGGACTTTACTTTGCATTTGCTTTGCATGAAAGGGATCATCTGAGAAACTAAAGAGCAAATATTATAAATGAGAGACAAAGGCAGAGAATGAAAATAGGTGGAGTGAGCTGAGGAAGAGTAAAGGGAATTGAAGGAAAGGTAAGCTAATAGTGTGACCAATTCACACTATTAGCTTATTAACATCAATATTACTAGCATATTGGCTGTTTATTAGTACTTATAAAGCATATAATGCCTTATTCTGCATTACCATATTTTAAAACCTTTAATCCTACCCCATACGGAAACTTAACAACTACCTCACTAATTATTAATAAGCAGCAAATTAGGAGTTTACTGAGGCAAAAGTCGCAGTTAATAGTAAGTCAATAGTGAGAATTGGTCCCTAAATTAAAGTGTGACTGAAGGAATCTGAAAGGGAAGATTTCCCCCTACACTTTCAAGGCTGAGCAATGAAAGCATTGAGGAAAGATGAGGCACCCTCTAAAAGATGAATTGTGGTCTCTTCCTGGGTTCTATTCTACCTATAGTCAATCTCTGCAAAAAAAAAAGGGGGGGAATGTCATTGGTCAGTCTGCTACAGTGTGTCGCTGGTCAACAATGACCAAATATCACCATCTGTTTTGTTTGTCATTCTGTGCTTTTTTGATAATAAACAGTAATAAAAATGAATAGCAAGGTTTTCTTGGGTTTACGCCAATGTCCAATTCCATCATGCAGTGTTGGTTAAAAAAAATCACCTACATTTTGTGATGATGTTGCTTCCACCATATTCTCCATTTCTAAATCCATTTGTGAGATTTCTCCTCCTGAGACAGAGTGTGTTCGACCACAAACTTTATGAAAAGGTTACTCTTCTCCAAGCAACAGAAGAGGCCTGCAGAAATATCGAGGCATATGCGTGCCAGGCATGAATTCCAAGTGAATTCACCCCGTCCTTTCTTTAGATCCACAGCTCAAGACAAACACATGGGGGGAAAAAAACTTCTCCATTGTGTCAACTTCATGATAAATGGACTTTTTCCATATTATACTTATGTATGAATAGTAATCAGCTGATAACGTTTTGACATCAGTATTTGCTTTCTGTGTTCGCCGAAAATTTTGCATGAATCATTTTGCTAGATGGCTGTGTTAATTGTTTTGAGAGTATTGTCATTTGTAGAAATATGTCAAACAGGTTGAGAAAAGCTGTAATCTACAAAGGTAAATGTTTAGATAAAAGCTCACCAAAAATAAATGAATGCAACTTACAGAATCATTGTTAAGCCAGGTCAAGAGAGAGTTGTCAATGGTAAAAGTAGTTTCTGGATATGTATCATATGTGCCCACCATCTCAAACTGTGGAGGATTCACATCAGTGTGCCAGTGCACAACTGCATAACTGATGGTTGGATCATAATTTTCATCGTATTTCACCTGGCGGCCATTGAGTGGAAAATCTAAATTCTTCATTTCTCCCAAAAGCTGTTGTGAAGTGTGTTCAAATAAAAAAAAATTCAACAATAAATAAATAAATAAATAATATAAAACTATAACATTAATAAAATAAATATTATTTATTTATTTATTTATTTATTGTCTAAAACTTACATAATAGCATAAATGATAATTCAATATAATTTATAATATGCCATTTGCTTAATATATAAACAATGTTGTTAATTATTTAATTAATTAAAACATTGCAATATCTTTTCATTAATTAAAATGAATTCACTTACCATGTATGGCTTGGCCTTTGGGTTTTTTGGGCATACATTCATATCACACTGCAGAACGTTATGTAATGCATGAGCTATGGTATATATGGCAGCGTAGATGGCGAAGGAGAATGAGGGATTTTCGTTTATAATCTCCTCGGCGGTCAACAGTGGGCAGTAATCACAAACTTGATTGCATGTCTTATTCTTACTCTGGACATTACTCTCAGTGCTATATCCATTAATTCTCCTGTCTTTATAGATGAATTTATCAAATCCTGGTAATGACAACAATCTCTCTGTAATGCCAATGACTGTTCCAATTTTCCCAATTCCCGGCTCTCTAGGAAGCTGTTGATTCATAGCCCAAGTTTCACTCGCAATCCATACTTTGTCTCGGATATTCTCCACTATGGCAGTTTTGATTATGTTGACTGCATATTGTGGTACAGCGAAAACAACAATGACATTGATGTTGAGCATATCAATCTTTTTAAGCGTTTGACTGTAGTTTGCATGTAAGCTCAGACCCTCTTGATAGGCCAAACAAATGCCAGTATTGCTTATATACTTGTTAAACAGCTTTAGTCCATCTGAACTGTAACTGTCTTGGCTACCAAGAAAGGCAACCCAGTTCCATCCAAACCACCGTATGATGTGAATAATCATCTCTATCATGTCTTTGTTGCTAGGGACTGTTCTTAGAAAGGAAGGATACTGCATTTTATTGCTTAATGCATAGCTAGAAGCTCCATAATTCACCTTTGAAAGAAAAGAAAGCACTGTATTATAAACCATTCATTTAGCATTACATAGTAACTTGGTATTTCAGAATAGTAGGAAATAAGCGTTTAAGTACTTTATTTTGTAAAAATAAATTAAATTTACCAATGGTATAAGGCCCATTGTGATTAATGGTGCAATAGTAATAGTTCTTGTGCTTCCATATGGCCCTGTTAAAGCAATCACTTTAGGCTGATAGTTGTTGAGCTTTTCTTTGGGTTTTATTGAGCCATTCTTTGAGACAAAACTTAAGATTGAAAGGAAATTCTTTGTATTAGAACAATGGTCAAAAATGTCATAGCCCAGAGAAACATTGGGCAGAAGAGTTGTAGAGTTATTAATCTCCTCAACAGCAAACCTCATCACTTGCAACATCTGATAACCAGACGTGGAGGTACTGTGCCTAAAAAAGAGCAATGAGGAAGTTAATAGCATGTAATTTAATATTCAGTTCAGAAATATGAAATGCTTCTTTGATTTAAAATACTGCATAGCAATAATCCTACACTGGTAAAAGGTCTTTGCTTACCTGAAACATTCAGTGGTCTCTGGGGTGAAAATCGATGTCACTTGGTCAATTTCATGTAAAGCAAAAAGGCCACCCAATAAATAATCTCCCTCCAAGCTGAAGTCAGACGTTGAATGTGGCCAAGAAATTTTGGAAAAGGAACAATTAATAAAGCACAAAAGGAAAACGCAAATTCTGCTGAGAAGCATGGTTTAAGATAGACCGTTGGTCATGAAACAGGGATGTACAGTGGCTAGCCGTATGATGAGAGAAGTGAGACTCATATAGTACTCTTAATTTGTTTAAAACACATTTCTATTTGCTTAAACCACTTTATTCACCGATTCAAATGCCTATTTCCATATCTAAACTCACAAAGCATATGTCAATCTGTTATTAAATAGAGCATTACACCACAAACATCTCCTTGTATGAGATTTTATGGAGTTAAGGCTGTTACATCACATTTTGAGTATAAAAAAACAATTTAATGCACTCCCTGAGGGCTGAAAATGCTGAAAACATGAATTCAAAGATGTCCAATGGACTAGAGAAAAACATCAACGTTATCTGTTGTTTTACAAAATCCAAATGAATCCTACGGAAACAGTGACCTTAAAACAGGAAGGTTATTCGCATATATTTTTACATTTACATTAAATTTGCTTAATCCAGTTCCTGCATCTATTTAAATGATTTTGCATATCTGGCAATAATATAGATATGTCATCCAACAAGTGTCACATTACACAACCAATGTCACTTATTACTGACATAGATTTCTAAGGATATTCTGCACAGGGACCAGATTTTCCATAATGTATTATATTGCAGTGTTTTATCATATAGGCACTATGAATGCAAATTGATAGCTTATAAATAACATTAACTTTCTACGAAGTCTATGAGTATGAAAATAGTAATATCTCTCCTAATATATTTATTTAAAGTTACACTTGCACATTTTTAGTGTGCTATTGCAACAAAGAAAAAAAATAGCTTTTAACAGAAAACAAGTCATTTATGGCATCAGTAAGTAAATAAACAAATAAGCAAACGAACGAACGAACAAATGAGGATAGCCCAGTGCTTAATTTGTAATTTGTGCCATGAAATAAAAGTGTTTAAAGGTGATTTCATTACTTATAATAGTTTGATGCTACTTTTAAAAACTTTTACACAATAATAAATAAATTGTGTTTTTGTCAAGAGTCATCTGAATGGTGTACACGCACATCAGACTGTACTTATAATAGTTTTCTATACAAAGTAAGTCACACTTTATATTAGGTGTCTTTAATAAAAATGTGCTTATGTTAAAAATTGATTGTTAGGTACAATGTATTTGTTGTGGTTTTGAATTGCAAAACACACTTGCTGCAGATGTGGGATACAGTTAAAAATGGGGTAGGTTTTGTGGTATAGTTAGGTAAGAGTGGTTTAAGGGCTAGGGTCAACAATGTAATTTTAAAATAGACATAATTACAGCTATTAAAGGGGTCCTATTATGCCCTTTTTACAAGATGTACATAATTAGGTGTCCTCAGAATGTGCCTATAAATTTTCGGCTCAAAATACACCAAGAACATTTAATATGTCATGCTGTAAATATCTCTTTTTAGGTGACTCTTTAAATGCAAATAAGCTGCTGCTTCTGCTCCCTGCTCCTTTCCAGAGGAGGGCTGTGGCTTTACGGCTAGTGCCTTGGTTACCTGCTATGGAACAACAAATAAAACATCTGTTTGTTTTTGATTATCACTTTAATGCTCCTATATATGATTTTTTGAGCGCAGACAAGAACACACATAAGCACATAAAGTCAGCTCTTGCCCGTCAAGTGTCAAATACACAGAATGTTGTGTCAAAAACACACAAAGTTCACATAAACATAATTGGTTATGTCTGCGAATGTGTTATGTCGACGAACAGCTGCATGTGTGTCAGTACATTAGATCTGTCTCTTGGGCATGGTGACAACACATTACTAAGGCAACTGGACCAGGTCTCGTCTGAAATTATAGTTGTGCTCTGCTTTTTATTTGTGTTCTGTTTATTTTTTTTGGCCAGATTTAACAATGCATCCCTTCATTTTTTTTTTTTTTTTTTTTTTGCATATTCATTGGCCAGGAATTATTTAAATGAGGGATATTATGACACGTATGTTCTTGGAAGATAACTCAGGACTGCAATCGAGGCATTTGAAGGAGATTAGAAACAGTGCTTTCTGACATGGAGAATAAATCCCTTTGGAGTGGATTCTGGAGTGGACATAATAGGACCCCTTTAAAAATATAATAACATGCAGGTATTTTTTTTAAATTAAGTACCAAGTAAAAAAATGTGTATGTACACAATAAGTGTATTGTATCAAATTAATATTACAGTTTATTTTACAGTACTTATACTTACAGTGTGCACCCAAGAACATACTGGGTAGTATAAGGTAACTACATGGGTTACGGTTAGGTTTAGGGGTAGGTTCAGGGTTTGTACCTAGTTGTTACCCATTGTAATTACTATAATAAGGACATAGTATGCTCACGTGGAACAGGACTAAAATAAAGTGCTACCAAATTAATAATTTAAATATTTGTACATAGTAGTTAAAGACATTTAAATTTATAAAGTGTGAATAATAATAAAGTCAAGGTTAGTATTAGGGGTTAGAGTTGGGTTTTGTGGTAAGGGTTGGGTAGCGGTTAGGGGGTAAAATTAACAGTGTAACTACAAATGTTAATTAAATGCAAGTACTCTACATGTAATTACAATGCACCAATATGTATGCACATAATTAGTTTTTTTTTAATTGGTCTGGTTCTATTTTCATAAGTAAGGTGTGCATTTTCAAAACTCTATACTTGTCAGTCCTGTGTTCCGTGTCTTGTGTTTTCCTCCCCCAAGTGCCCCATGACCTAGTTTCTCCCATGTCTGATTATGTTCATTAGTTCCAGGTGTGTCTTGTTAATTCCCTCATTTTGTTCCTGAATTTAAGCCCCGTGTTTTCCTGAGTCCTGCGTGCTGTCTGAACGTCAATCTCCGTGTGCTATGTGCGTGTTTCCGTGTTTTGGATGTAAATAAAGTCTGATTGCTTTGGATCTCCTTAGTCTCCGCACTCCTTCATCCCCTCGCTCCTCGCAGTAGGCACACCATGACAGAAGACAGCACCAGCAACAGTAATGCCGAGTTCACACTGCATGATTTTAGCCCGATTTTTCACTCGCCGACAGGTTTTGCGAAATCGCCGACAAATGCCCGAAATCGGAGGCAAATCGGTGCTCGTTCACACGAGTGACAATCACGCAGTGTGAATTATCAAAGACGCGATCTGAGGGAATCGCCGACAGGTCGCAGACGCCCGTGAAATATTTGGCATGCTAAATATATGGAGCTGTCAGCGATTCACAATCACGCTGTGTGCAATGATTTCTGACTGAAAACTACATCGGCGATGACCTACAGCCAATGAGAGACCAAGATACAGGACAGAGGGAAGTTCAGAGAGGAGTTATAGACCAGAATATCAGTATTTTAATAGATATAGCCTATGAACACTTATATCATACAGACACAAGCAAACATTTGCTTGACCAGCCACAACATCAGCAGTTCTCCGCCATAGCCCGCAGAGATCTCCCGTTCGTGGAGTACGCTCGGGAATTCTGTGGGCTAGCCGTGATGACGGCATTGGATGATGCGACGTTGAATTCGCTGTTCTGGATCGGGGCCATCTACCATTGCCCCGTGGACCTCCCAGACACCACTGGACTGTACTGGAGGGATGGTATCCTCTGGTGTCTGGAGAGTGTCCGGCCCCGATTCAGAACCAGCAACAGAACCAGAACCGTCAAGTCCGCCGGCCGCTCCGAAGTCAAGCCCGTCAGCCAATTCTCTCCCAAGCCCTCAGCTGACAGCAGTCCGATCCTTAACCCTAAATCAAAGGAGGAATATGAGGAGGAAAAGGCTGTTGGCTTCTGCCCCTGAGTCGGCTCCAGTTCCCACGTTCAGCCCAAGGAGGTCTCTAGTCCCCACGTCATGCCCAGAGAGGGCCGCTGTTCCCACATCCGGCCCACGGAGGGCCTCAGAAGCCGATATTCTCACCAAGGATTTTGGGGGGGGGGTTATAGGGATCTGGCCATAGAGGCCGGCCATTGCCGAGGCCAGGCCCCCTGAACTGTCTGCTCCGCCATGGCCCCCTGAGTTCCCTACTTAGATAATCAAATGTAATTCATTATTTTTACACTATAAGTGATTTATCTTAGACGATAACCACTATTTTGTAAGTGTGTGTGTGTGTGTGTGTGTGTGTGTGTGTGTGGTTCAGGGAAATCCTATATTATGTAAAACTGTGTGTTTTGCAATTTGTGAACATACAGCAGGATGCAAGGGAGAGGAACTGATCAGAGATCGATCAGAGATGTATCAGAAGAAGGGAGACAGATGGCATCAAATACAGCATTTTACATTACATTATGCCATGTGATACTGTATGTAGAGGCATATACCATGGTAGAGTCTGCACATATAACTCACCTTCCATCTGAAAAGTTCAGTTACAGTATAGATTCAGTCATATGGCACAGTGAGGATATTTACTGCATTGACCGTAAACTCTGTTCTAGCACAAAACCTTATGGCCATGTCATACCTTCATCACACCTTTTGATACACTTGATAAATACTTTACCTAACTTGCATAACTCACACAAAATTCATAATGTTTGTAATGTAAGTCTATTTTCTAACATGACAATTATTGCCTGTATTACTGTAATTATTTCAGCAAAAAAAAGGTGAAAGCACACACGTAGCACAGGGGATTGACGTTTAACACTGGATGCTAGACACAGGAAAACACTGGGCTTAAGTAACTGAAACTAAACGAGGATAATCAGGGGAACACAGGTGAATCAAATGAACACAATCAGACACGGGAGAAACTGGGTCACGGGGAGCACATGGGGAGCAAAACAAACATGGGTTTCAAAAAAAAAGTCCATGGGCCTGACAATTACACTGTTGGTGCTACTTAGATTTGAAATCACTACATTTAGTGGTGCCCCGTGTGAAGCTATCTAACATCTGAAAATCACTACAAGGGTCTCAAAAAACTGGTTTAGAAGAAAAGATGCATATTAGCTACAAAAGACTTAAGAATTAAGGCGATTTAGTGGTGAACCACCCTTCGATCTCAAGTTTTTTTGTAAATTAA